TTTTAATCTAAAATTTAAAATGCAGAATGGAAATAAACGATATACTCGCACCTGAGAATATTATTAGAATAACCTAGATCAATAGTGAAGATCTTTTTTTAAGTTGTTGAGTAGACCTCAACTCCTAATGACCCAGTTTGTATCAGAATAAAACGGTGGTCCAAAGGGCAGTCCGTGGCTGATGGTTTGGAAATAGATTGCCAAACATTTCTTATGAGGTACCTTTGGGTAGACAAACCTCCAACATTTTGGGTTCGTAGCAAATTACATTAATCACTTACACCACCCATGGAATCTTAAAGATACAAGACTTTTAAAAAAATCATTTTATTGGGGGCTCATACAACTCTTATGATACAAGATTTTTATGAGTACCCACTGATTTTATCCATAGCTTCTTGAACAAGTTATTTTTCAAAATTGTGTAACTGATGTTACCCTTAGCTAGCTGCACAAGCTACCTCTTTTTTTAAAAAAAGTATAACTGCAAAGAAATAGACACCACTGCTAACCATGTCTACTTGGAAACCATCCTATCACAAAGATCTATAGGAACTACACACCACTATTCATTCGTTGACTATTACTTTATGAATTGGGGTTTGCAAGGTTAGTATTACATTTCACAAAGCTCAATTACCCAGAAAGGATTGTGAAGCAGGAAGCAAGGCCCTACGGGAAGTAGAACACCTTATAAGCAATTCCTGCTTATAGAAAGAATTGGCAGAGAAGACACCAACAACATATTTCCCACTCCCAACATTTCAACACCCTAACCCCTGAGGCCAAAAAAGACCTCCCATTAAGTTAAAACTACCAAATGATGACAGTATGGAAATTCAGGAGCAAGCTTTTTTTCCCCCTCCTTCAGACTGCTAGAGGGAGAGATAACAAAGGACTCCTGCAAGAAAAACACAAAATACACCTTAATTCAGGTCAACCCCTTTCACCAAAATCTGAAAGTGGGTTTAAGATGTAACTATATTACAGGTCAAAACCATTTTTGAAGTTCAGTTTTCATAATGTAAATATGTGTTCTTGGCTAATTAACATAAAAGGATTTTAACAACCTGAAAGAGCTTCTTTAAATCAATGCCCTTCCAGGAGATGAACAAGGCTTTTTATGAAATTAATAAATAGATGGGCATAGAAATAGATGCTACTGATGTATACACACATACAATCTTCTTGGCTTTGCGCCAATTCAGATCCTATAATGAGATATGAATGAGTGTGTTTGAGTGTGTGCTACAAATGTCACAGAGCTTCTGGCAAAACTGACAAGTTTTAACCTGCTGCAAAAATTACTATGTACCATGTTAATCTCAATCTAGTTTTATGCTATTCTTTTGGACAACCCTACAAAAATAAAACCCCCGAGAGCAAAATTCTTGTGCATTTCAATATCCTGCCTACTTATATGAGCGGAAGAGTCAAACGTAGCAGGGGAAAGAAACGTGACGTGCACAACCTTGATCCAAAATACTGCTCGTCGAAGTCTAATTTTAGGCCTAACCATTTTGATTGTCTTTTTAGAGTGGTTTAAGCGTGGCAGAAAGGTTTAGAGTGGAAGAAAAGAAAATGACAACAAAAATTAGGATCCCTTGTAAATCAGAATGGATCTACAGTGAGAGCTGGCATTCTTTATCAAATAGGAAACAAATCACGCTACACTGCCCCGCTAGTATTCCCATTAAAACGAATGTACAAAGATGGGTACAGCTTCACGTCGACAATAGCAATTACTTTCCCACACTTTCCCAGGGGGATTTTCGTTAACTTTTGTGTGTGTGTGTGCGTGTGAACCCTGGGGAAAACTTCAGTTACCTTAAATCAACGAAAGTTAGGGTACCTACAAGAAGCAAACATTCACCTCTGGCTGAAGATCAAACAAAAAGCCTGGAGGGACTCACAGGTCTACTCTTAGGCGGAAACTCACCTCCCCGGAGAAGGGCATGTCTACTTACATGAAATATGGAAAAAGAGATTGGAGTTTAGAAAAAAGTAAGCGTCCCGAGACAATCGTTTCAAGAAACGAAGCATCTGCCTAGGTGGACAGAGAAAAGGCAAGGAGGGGTTGGGAATCGGCGAGAGGGGAAACCGAGGAATACAAAGCCGACAAGTCGGGTGCAGCAGGAGTGACCCGAGGGAAGGCAGCCCCGGGGCGCGGCGCCGTCCAGGGCAGGGCTCGTCCAGGAAGAGCCGACCTCGCCCGCCCCGCAGGCTGCCCACGTCGGGCCGAGCCGGGGCCGGGAAGAAAACAGCCCTGGGAGCAGACAATGAGCCGCCGCCCCAGGAGCCGCGGCTCCCGGAGCGCAGGTGGCGGCTTCCCCGGCCCCGCGCGGGCAGTCGGCGGTCCGGGCCGCTCCCCGCGGCTAGGCCGCTAAGGAGGAAGGAGTGCGCGCCCGCTCCCGGGTCCGGCGCGCCGGGCACGCTCCACACTTACCTCAGACGAGGAAAGGTCCCCGCCCCGACGAGGCGCCTCAGTCCGAGCTCCCGGCCGCAGGGCTCCGGAGCCGCCCCGGGAAAGCGCGCGGCGTGGGGAGGGGAGGGGAAACGGGGGGGGGATGAAAAGCCACGCAGGAGCCCAGCCGGTGCTACCAGGCCGAGCTGCGGCCGCCGGGGAGGGGAGGGCAGGGAGCCTTCGGCAATGGCGACGGCTGGGGCCGGAGGGGAAGCGGAACAACCGCCGCCGCTGCGCGTGGCCACAACCCCAGGGGCGGGCGACGGCAGGGAGCGGGGAGGGGCGGGCCAGGAGAACCGCCCTACCCACCCCTTGCCCCGACCCGGAAGCTCGGTGCGCCCCTGGGCGGAGAAAAGCACCGGCTCTTAGTGGGCGGGGCGTCGCGAGCACTGCTGGGAATTGTAGTCAAGTGATGAGCCCTGGGCAGGGGACTGAGGGGCTTCCGTTTGGTTTCATTGCATCTGATCGGGCCTGTGGCAAAAAGTTGCAGCTAGATGAATGCTGTTATATGAATATGCTACAGAACTTTTGTTTCTCAGAAGTTAGTCATGATTTATTTTGTTCCTTTACCTACAAATCATATTTTGCTGCTTGATTATGTCTCATCTATTTGCAAATTAGGACAAATTTCCCAGTATTTTATCCACAGAGGAGAACATCTATGTATTCACTTGTTCTACAAATATTTGAATGTTTAATCAGTACTCAGCACTGCTCAAACAAAATCAAACCCATTGCTGTCAAGTCGATTCTAACACAGTGATCCTATAGGACAAGGTAGAACTGTCCCAACAGGTTTCCAAGTCTGTAATGCTTATGGAAGCAGACTGCCATATCTTTCCTCAAGAAACAGCTGCTGGATTTGAACCACTCACCTTTAATCTCTAGCCTTGCATGTAACTATCATGCCCCCAACGCTCCTTAAACACTGTTAACCCAAAAGTCATCATAGCCTTCTAAATCATAGTAACCCTGTGTGGGGTTCTGAGATAGCAGTTTTTTTGCAGGTGCAGACCATGTTATCACTCTTCCAGGGAATGGCTGGTGGGTTTGACCCACCAACCTTGTATAGTAACCCTGTGTGGGGTTCTGAGATAGCAGTTTTTTTGCA